CGGGAGTTTTGAGTCTTCCGATCGTCCGACACTTGAGTTGTCTAGTCCGACATTTCGTCGACGTCGTCGGCAGGACAGGCTGCAGTAGGAGGTGGAGGCGTCGCCGCGACATCAATGTGGAAATGGGAACAGACAGAACAGTGGAAACGAACCTTCAAATTGGTTTCGGAAATGGACCTTCAAATTGGTTTGGGTATATTTATCATTGCTCATTGGGCTTGGTCAATTAAAAAAACAAAGGCCCAACTAAAAAAAAAAAGATTAAGCCCGAACAGAAGGCCCACCTTAAAAAAAAAAAAAAAGGAAAACAGGAAGCCAAACCCTTGTCAATTTCCTTCTTCCTTCTACCGGTCACTGTTCTGGAGGAGCCCAGCACGTGCGGCCATGCCCCCTCGCCGAGTGTTGGGTCCGCTGCTGATTGACTTTATAAATACTCTTCTCGTTATATTGAAGAAAGTATGAGAGAAGAAAAAAGGCTTATTGGGACAAAACCTCCTATCATTTGGACTTATTGTGAAATATTCACATTTCCTTTCAGATTGACTAAAACTCCCCTATGTGACATTTGAAGTGCAAATCACCCCTTGCTATCCAGTTTCATTAGTATAGGCATTATAAACAGTAAATGTGATCAAAATTGAAAAGAAATAATTGTAATTATGATCCCAAACCTTTTTTTTTCAGATCATACCCAAATCTTTTATTTGTATCCACAATCCCAAATTAAAAACTTCATCTTCTTCCCCAATTTTAAAAGGGTAAAATAATAGTTTTATATTATTTCAAATAAAATAATTAAAATTAAAAATTAAAAAAACCAAAAAAAATAAAATTTGCACCCTACGCTACCCCACCCCACGCCATTTTCTTCCTCAATTCCCCCCCTTGTGATTTCCAATTGGATATTTCCCGCAGAGAATTCCCGGCGACTCTCGTCTGCGCCAAGTGAAATTAACAATGCAACCAAGATAGTTGTCTTTAGTTTCTCAGATGGATTCTTTACCGTTGTTATATGAATCAATTTGAAGCTTCAAAATCTTGTCACGTCATTAGAGGTGTCAATCCGGGTTGTC